TTTTCACCCTCCAGGAGGCTCGAGGAAAATCTCAGGAGCCCCCGGAGGGCAAAAATGTCCCACTCCCACCATGGTGCAGGAGGCCAACTAGGCCAGGCCCACCATGGCCACGCCCACCCAGCAACCGGGCAGAAAATCCCTTGCTAAAAATTTTGAAGCCCACTCCTGGAGAGGGGTCTGTCTTCCTGAGCAACATCTGCCTACAGGTAGTCCTTGACCTACAACAGTTCATTTAGTGACCATTCTAAGTTACAAAGTCACTGAAAAAAGTGACTTATGATGTTTTTTCACACACACGATCTTTCTAGCATCCCCATGATCATGTGATCAAAATCCAGATGTTTGGCAACTGGTTCATAATTATGATGGTTGCTGGGTCCCAAGGTCATGTGATCACACCTTTTGCGACCTTCTGACAAGCAAAGTCAATGGGGAAGGTGGAATCACTTAACAACCGGGTTACTAACTTAACAACTGCATTGGTTTACTTAACCACTGTGGCAAGGAAGGTCATAATACTGGGCAAAACTCACTCAACCAATGTCTCACTTAACAACAGAAAATTGAGGCTCAATTTTGATCATAAACCAAGGACTACTATATCATCACCTTACTTTGGACTTTAAAAAAAAAGCTTCAACCACTTTGGTTCCAGCCCAATCTCTGTCAAAGAAAAGGACAATTTGAGGAGTATTGGTGGTGGCCTTCAAATCAGGGGTGAAATCCAGCAGGTTCTGACAGGTTCTGGAGAAGCGGTAGTGGAATTTTTGAGTAGTTTGCAGAATCGGTAGCGGAAATTTGAGTAGTTCAGTGAACTGGCAAATGCCACCTCTGACTGACCCCCGAGTGGGGTGGGAATGGAGATTATGCAGTATCCTTCCTCTGCCATGCCCACCAAGCCACACCCACCAAGCCACACTACACCACGCCTACCAAGTCATGCCCACAGAACCGTTAGTAAAAAAATTGAATTTCACCACTGCTTCCAATGTATCTGAAGCTCCACCCAAAATGAGTAGGAGAATATTGGTTGGAAGCTGCAGGAAAAGAAGATCCCTGTTAAATATTAAGAGCAAAACATGTCCCAGCGGTGAATGCTGCAGAGGACTCTGGTTTTAGAAAGGTGATGAAATTGGCCTGAAAAGTGGTTTTTAAACAGATGGTGAATTCTGTCTTGGCAAGCCTACCTTGGCCATGTGGATTGGATTAGATGACCTCCCGTTTGAACATTAGGAAACACAGTAGAGGCAGTTGGGGAAAAAGCACCATAATTGAGCCACTTGACTTAAGCATCTTCTTCCAAAAAAATTACATTCCAGGGTGTTACGGATCAAAAGGAAAATGCAGTGATGTTGCAATCTTTTCATATTGAGCTAATTCAGAATGAGAACAGTGTTTTCCAACCCTTGCTCTGTGTTAGCGTCTTTAAAGGGACACCATCCAGATGTGCTGAGATTACGAACCTTGGAATTAACAGAATAACAACATTGGAATGGACCTTAGAGGTCTTCTAGTCCAATCCCCATGAAACCCGTTAGTGCCTTCTTAAAACCCCAGTCAACTAGCCAACATTCCTAGACAATCTCCCAGGTAGGAACAAACAGTCTAACCCTAAGTTGTTTCTGAGATAGAACATAAAATAGAGCTGGAAGGGACCTTGGAGGTCTTCTAGTCCATCCCCTGCTCAAGCAGGAGATGGTATACTAGTCTGAATAAATGACTGTCCAATCTCTTCTTGAAAACCTTCAATGTTGGAGCACCCACAATTTCTGGAGGCAAGTCGTTCCACTGATTAATTGTTCTAACTGTCAGGAAATTCTCAACCAGTGTGGAATTTTGAGAGTCCCCTATCATCCCGAGGACACATTATTGGGGGAAAATAACTTATTCATATCCATCTTTTTAAAACTGTCTTTCTACTTTTTCTTCTTTCATCTGCAAATTAAAACTTTTTTTTTTTTGGTATCCAGATCTGAGAAGAGGGAACTGAGTCCAGTCTGTATTTTTTAATTTAATCAGAATAGAGCTGGAAGCAGAGGTGGGTTCCTACCAGTTTGCACCTATTCAGTAGAACCGGTTCATCAAATCTACTGAACTGGTTAGAAGAGGTTCCACCAGTGGACCCGGA